TGAAAAAAAAAAAAAAAAAAAAAAAAAAACACGGGCAGAAAACCTGGCAGAAAAGGCTTTGATATAGCAAAACACACACACACACAGGGCTAGGGCTAGCCCCGCGTCTGAGCGGTGTCATTCCCCTTCCCTCAGCCCCTCCCCTCTGTCTCCAAAAAACAAAGTCAGCCACAGCTCGGGGGATTCTCGGAGGTAGGCGGCTCTGCTCCCCAGCCTCCTGGATTTGGGACTTTGATGTAACCTGAGCCCGTGTCCCCGGGGCCTGCACGGCCCCCCAGGCTCCGGCAGCGGCTGACCTTCGTGGTGGAAGCTCCTCACGGTGTTGGCGCGGCTGGCGGGGCGCTCGGGGTACTCCAGCGCGCCGCGGACCTGCTCTTCCCCTTCCTCCTCGCCCGACTGCAGCCGGTAGAGATCCCGCATGTAATCCGGGACGACGGCGCTCTTGCTGGGCTGCGGGCGGCGGCGCAGCCCGAACATCTGCAGAAGCGTCGCCTCGAAGTCCCGCAGGAGCTCATGGCTCTGCCCTGAGCGGCGTCCTCCCGCGTGGCTCTGAATCTCGGCGACTTTTTTCTTCCCCGTCTCAGGTATCAAACTAGCATGGCTCGCGCCTCCTAGCAGGACTTGGCATAATAAAACGACCATCAGCATTCGGTTACCAGGAATCATGGTGTCTCTGGGGAGGGGGAGGAGGTGGAAGGTTAAAGAATAAATAAACACCAATAACGAGAGAGGAACAGAGATGTCTCCGCGTCAGGCAGCGAGGGCGAGAGATGGAGGGGCCGGGATGTGAGGCAGGTCAGAAGGAGCGAGTTGGCGTCTTCTCCCTCACACACCCCCCTCCGCCACCAGCTGCAGCCATGCGAGGCCTGAAAGTAGGAATTGCCCTGTAATTACTTGGTCTAACTTGTTTACAGTCAAATAACCCCAAATCAGATAGCCTCCATCCTGTTAATCTTTTTTTGTCCCAACTGCTATCTGAGCCATGATCTCAGCTTGGCTTCTTCAGGGATAAACAGTTAACATTGAGGGGGTATAAAAA